CAGCCAGAAGCAACACAGAAACGTTGCTTTGCTTTTTTTTCCAAGCTGGCAATGGCACTGTGCTGCTGCTCTTCCATCTTCAAGCACATTTGCTTCCTGCTCCGCCCCACACCTCTTGCTACTCTTCTTACTCTGCCCCATACCTATTGCCACTCTTCTTACTCCGCCACTGCTGCACATGGGAGCCATGAGTGGAAAAAGTTTGAGAACCATAGCCATAGCAGAATTTTATTCCATGTTACTCAGGTGATGTCACCTCTAGGAAGGGAATTAAATGTTTCTTATTTCCTTCCCACGGGTTTGGGGATCCCCAGGGATCCTCTTCAGCCTGAGGAAGCCATTGAAGGGGGGGGTGTTCATTAATGTCCCAAAGTCACCACTGTTGGTCCTGGTCCTACTGCAAACACATGTTGTGGTAATTTTCAGATATTAAAGTGGCTCCCAATGGATTAAGGTGTCACCAGAGCCAGATTTGTGTGTGCAGAATAGAAAACATTAATTCCATTAATAGTTTTCAGAGTTGCACAGTGTAATGGTGCATGATTCTTACCACTGAGTGCATTGGCTGAGCTATACCTCACCAGGCTAGTATATTTGTTTCTAGTGTAACATGGGCCATGGTTGTAGTTCTTGATGGTTATGTGCTTTGTCTAATTCCTGATAGCGGTCAAAGAATATTGTTCTTTGCAAATACAGTGGTGCCCCGCATAGCAACGATAATCTGTTCCAGATAAATCGTCACTATCCGGATTTGTCGCTCTCCGGGGCAAAAAAACCCATAGGAATGCATTAAACCCTTTTTAATGCGTTCCTATGGGGGGAAACCTCACTGTTATTTATTTATTTTATTTATTTATTGTATTTATCCCCCGCCTATCTAGTCATTTTGACCTCTCTAGGCGGCTTACAACATAAAGGATAACAAGTTCAAGAAAAATGTATAACAATTAATTAATTAAATGATTCTACAAGATGGGAAAAATACAAAATAAATCAGATAAAAAGAATAAAAAAGGAAAAAGGACAGGAATTAACTGGAAGGGAAGGCCTACCTATACATCCATGTTTTTAGTTGGTGCTTAAAAGTACCCAGCGAGGGTGCAGCGCGAATCTCCGGAGGTAGGTTATTCCAGAGGCGAGGAGCCACTGCCGAGAAGGCCCGGTTTTTAATTCTTTCCTTCTGGGCCTCCCTTGGCGTCAGGCTCCTCAGCCTCACCTCCTGGCTCGCGCGGGGGACACGGGTAGAACTAGTTGGGAGTAAGCGTTCCGCCAAGTATCGAGGTCCTAAACCGTTTAGGCCTTTATATGTGAAGATCCTCCATAGGGGCGGCCATTTTCGGTGCCTCTAAAGTGAGGCAACACAGCGGGCGGCCATTTTGGAACCGCCAATCAGCTGTGCGCAAATGGGGCGTTTGGGAGGACCGCGGGGGAGCCCTCCCCCATGGTCCTCGTAAAGCCCTAGCCGGCATTTTCGCCCAGCTGAGCGGCGGGAACTTCCAAAGGCATTGCCGCTCAGCTGGGCGAAAATGCCGGCTAGGGCTTGGGAAGGTGGCTTTGGAAGCTCCCGCCGCTCAGCTGGGGGAAAATGCCGGCTAGGGCTTTACGAGGACCATGGGGGAGGGCTCCCCCGCGGTCCTTCCCAAGCCCATGCCGGTCAGCTGGGGGGGAATGGGGCTATGGGGAAAAACGTATTAGGGCTTATTTTCAGGGAATGTTTTATTTTTTTCATCTACAACAATCTACATTTATTCAAATATAGTCATGTCATCTTCTGGTTGCTGCACAATAGTGAAGGGCAGGGTTTCACTTAACTGGGGCTTGTTTTGGGGGTTATATTATGAACATCCTAAAAAATCATACTAGGACTTATTTTCAAGTTAGGTTTTATTTTTCCATGTAATGGGGTGCTGTCTGGCCAAAGTAGTTTTTGTTGTTTTTGCTCAAAGGATTTTGTTCAAATTGTGAAAAGCAATTATTTCTGTTGACAAACCTTGAAGATAGCTGGTCCTATATACTCAAGGCATAGACAGTGAGGAACATCTTTTCACTGCCTCAGTGAACTGATCATAAGCCTCTGTGTCTGGACAAGTAATTTCACTCAATATTGCACTAAACCTAGCTTTTAAAAAAATTGTATCTCCTGAAGAACAGTACTGTTCATGGTTGCACCGCTGCCATGAGTTGGTATATTATGGGTTGTTGCTGCATGTTCAAAATTGGTGTAAGGTATAAGTAAACTTCACACACTGTTGGGCTATAAGCTCACTAGCAAATTGCAGTGTTCAGTTATAACTAAATTGCTATTTTCTGCAGTTGAAAGATGAGTGAACTTTACTGTCAAGAAAAAAGGCTAGCTTTAGCCCTACTTCTCCATTATTATCATTAAGGGCATATCCTCAGTCACCACTATGGCTATTGATGTCTGCAATTGGAAAATTATATATTTTTTGCTTATGAAAACTGTCAGGGGTGTTAAAAGAAAAAGTTGCATTACGTGGTTTATAACAAAGAATAATATGATTACTCAGCTTTGCTGTTACTATATCTGTGTCATCCTGTTCTATAACAGCAGTAGATGATAATTGGAGATCAGACTTAACTAATATACCACTTCCATACTGTCTATGAGATCTCTCAACACAAGTTTCATGCCAGATATTTTGGGGTATTGCTGATGCCTGTCTCTGTGCGTTTATTGAATGCAGTTTTGGTGCAGTACCTCTTCTTTAGTTGTTGACAGGACCTCTATACTAATAGAAATGTTCCTTAACTTTGGCCCTAATAAACCTCCTTTTAATAATGATGGCCATTTGCTAGTCATTGTTAAAACCACATAGTCACTCATCCAGTCTTGTTTGTACAGTGAGGCATGATACATTGATGTTTGGGGGCTGGAAGAATCAGCTGACACAGTTGTTGCCAAGGGGATGCCCAAATGTACATTGTTTGGAGAGGCTCATTCCATAATCTCCAAGAGGAATACTAACCAAATTAAAGGGACCTGAACCTAAAGGGGATTTGTGCATGAATAAGTGAAATAGCATATGTCTCAATAGCAAGTTGCTGCTAATTATTGATGTGCTGGTTGTGTTCCTGGTTGTGCTGTGGGCACATTGATTGGCACCTTATTAATTATGTGATTCAACTTACACGTGTGTGAGCCACCAAGAGGAACCCAGCCAAGAAGTATAATTACTACTGTTTAATTTAATCCTTGGTGTATTTATACAAATGTAAAGGTTTCACTGCGTTTAAGACAGTCATAAGCATACTGTATTCTGCTAAATTCTTGTGCTGTAAGGGTTAAAGCATTCTCTTGTGGTGAGAACTGAAATGTTGTCTTCCAGTTCATGTGCAAGGACAGAGTACAGTTTCCATGGAAACTCCTGGAATAATGTGTTTCATGTCTTCCTCTTGCATTCTGATAGTAATATACTGTATCACTGCATACAAAATACTTACAGCCAGATATCACCATAAAAGATGATTGCCTGGAAGCATACATATTTGATGTTTACAGATATGTATATTCTTTAAAATTGATGTAATTAAGAAACAGAATTATGTAGAATGCAGAGCTTAATGTACATATTTTTGCAATATTTGAGTCATCATTTCTAAAACTTCACTTTCTCAACCTTGATCTTGAAAGTATCCTTTTGAAATCTAAGGTTGTGGTTGATCCCACATTAAAAACATATTTTTTTTCCATGTAATGGAAATGCAGCCTCCCTGGAGGTTATGTGGAAATTTTGTAAAATAGAAGCATGTTCAGCTTAGACAAAAGAATATGGAAATCGGGGAATAACTGATGGTATGAAAACTATAATTAAAAAGGCTCTTGAAAAGGGAAGTTGGTTAAATGGGCATATATTTCTGTTACACAGCTGTGTGTCAGCCTCGCCCATCTTGTTTATGAGGGAACTACATGCTAGCTTTCCCTTGTATTTTCAGGGTCCTAGAAAAATTCAGCTTTCTCTTTATAGTAAACTGGTCACACATGGCTGTGCCTTACTGTTTTTTTCCAACTAAAGTATAAACAGAAGATGCTGTAATGAAAGTAAAAATTCCAGAAAGAAGAGAGAAACTTTACTGGTTAAAAGAGATACCTTTACATTTTTTTAGAACTAAGATCTTTTAAAATCTTGTATTTTTAACCCCTCATTTGAAAGCTTATGGAATAGTGGCTACAAACATTTGTGCATGGGAATTAATTTATATTGTGAAGAATTTTCATCTTTTTATCTAGCAGCCTCTACCAGAAGATGATGTCACCTTGCAGCCGATTGGCTGTTTCAATACCTAGTGCAGGGAAGAGAGAGAAGGATGCCGGCACAAATCTTTGTGGTGGATCTGTGGTGTTTTCTGTCAGTTTTACATGGAATATTTTGATTAGTGTTGAGATTGTCCATCTGTATGGCCATGTGAGCAGTTGAGAATACCTTAGAGCAAGGGGTATTGAGAGCTATCAGAGGAATGAGGCGGTTGATCTGCAAACGGATCTGTGATTGTAAGTGTAAAAATCAGGGTGGAACGAATGAAGCAGGGAGTGTTAGTAGACACATTGTGGGAGGATGTGTAGAAGAGATGGCAAGCAGGAGTCATAGAAAGGCAGTGGGGTTTTTATTCCCTTGAAGTGCTGTGAAGAATTTAGGGTTGTAAAGATTTAATTTGAGAGAAATATTAGAAGTGAACAGGAAAATATATGCCTTGTAACTCATTTTTCCTCAGCTGGCCAAAATACTGAACCTTTAAAATGTGTTTCAGTCTAGCTTTATTCACAAAGCTATTATAGGTAATGCAATCAAATTATTTAATTATATTATTTTACCCTTGATTGTCTGGCTATACCCTCCGAAGACAAAGGACATAATAATTATTATTGATTTATTTGATTTTTTGTGACTTCTTGTTAAGTGTTGTTGTAAACAGCTTCTCTCTTAAACAGAAGAAAAGAATAGGATTATAACACAAGTTTATCTGTGAAACATCTTTTACAGATAAAAGCTTTGATGATGAAGAATCAGTGGATGGAAATAGGCCATCTTCAGCTTCCTCAGCTTTCAAGGTTCCTGCACCTAAAAAACCTGGAAATCCCTCAAATACTTCAAGAAAACCAGGTTCTGCTGGTGGGCCTAAGGTTGGAGGTAAGATTAAACTATTTAAACTTGAATTTACTGGAGTTTATTCAATTCTTTCTTTTTGTCTCAACTTGTTTAGCCAAAATCAGATTGAAGAACTTTGAAAGATACTGTTTAATTCATAACTGCAGTGTTCTTGCAGATCTGGAAATTAGGCAGGATCTTAACAGATGATGTCCTTGTGTGAATTAATCTGAATCAGAATATAAATTAGAATAATCCGGTAAATACATGTAACTGAATTTGGTGAAAGAGTTATTTTTTAAAAAAAATTGCATGGGAAGTATTTTGTTTGTATATGCATATATCCAAGGTAGAAGAGTTATGCAGTATAGCTCACATTGCATTTTGTTGGATCTTAAAATTTACTGCACTATGTGATATGGAAACTTTTTCATAATGTCAAATGATTACAAAAATAAGAAAAACAATCCACAAATATGGTAGAAAAAAAAGAAAATATAAACCTAATCATAAAGCTAATGATTATGTTCTTTCAGTAATAAATGTTGCTAGAAAAAAAGGAAATATAGACTTAACCATAAAGCTAATTATTATGTTCTTTCATCCTAAACATAGCATATTTGTTTCATATACAAGTCTTTTTAATCTATGTATGTAGTTATCTTTATGAATTATGAGTTTGAGACATTCATTTTTTCTCTCTGAAATTGCTGGAAATTGAATTATTTATGTCACTGGGATTATTTGTTTACCTGATTCAAGTGATCCCTTAATCAGAGGGGAGGTATCATAGGGACATTTCTTTAGATTCATTAGGTAATATTATATTTTCCTCTTTGACTCTTCAGTATGATTGTTTTGTAAGTTGCAGTAGCATTACAAATATTGGAAAGCTTATTAACTCATGATACTTTCAATGTAAATTGAAAAGCACTTGGAAACGCATTAAAGGTCATATAGGATGTGAGTATCAAAAACCAGTGCACTTTAAAATATAACTATAATAAACATTTGTTTTCTCTTGAATGCGTCACACTTGTACTAACGTAATATCCTGCCTCTGTTGCAACAGGTGTGCACTAGAAATGAGGCTATGAAATATCTATACAATTTAGCTGTATATTACACAAAGTTGTGAAATATCACTAAATTTGTTATATGTTAATGAAGAAAAAGAGGTCTTACGCAAAGTGGCATAGTTATGTTATGCATACCATTTGGTGTAAACCAGGTAAGGACAAAGTGCAGCCATCCAAATGCTGTTGAACTCTTAACTTGCAGCATGTCTCACTACTGACTATGCTGGCTGTGACTTCTGGGAGTCACCCTAGTATCTTTGTAGAGCTATACTTTTAAAAACTCATTTTATATGACTTTTTTTAAACTGAAGGTTTAATTTCAAAAATAATACAAAAAGGAAGCCTATGGAACCTTCACACGTTGCTTTCCTCATTTTCCTCCTTGTCAGAACATCTGAATTACACTTGTACACAATGATAACCTCGTTTTACTGACATGGAGAGTATATCTGGCCAAGAAAACCACTGACAGAATTTTCTGAGCCTCTTCCACTCACACATTGAATACTTATTAAAGCCTTGAGATACTTTGCAAATAGGAGAAGTTGTCTGTTGCATTATGTGTACGTACTCTTTGATTTTTCCCAGAAGAGTGAAATTATTTTTCCTTTAACAGTGAGTCGGTTGCAGGTAGTTCTACGAATCCATAAAATTTTCATTCCAGTTAAGTCATTGAATGCTAACATTCTAAAACATTTCTCCTAACTTCTATAGATTTAGTGCCCTCAGACACAACTAAACTGTGGCCTGAATTCAGTTGTTAATCAAAACTAGAAGAAATTCATCAAATTGATGGGAACTTGTTAAGTAAACACTTACATTAAAGAGTAGATATGGTTGTGTGTGTTTCCTCAGAGGTGACACTAGTTTATTTAATGTGATCCCATTGACAGCTGTTTTATTCAGATGACATGAATTAGCTGTATAAACTCAAGTGCAAGCCATTTCATTAAGCTAAGCTGATTATTACAGTTTTAAAATAAATATGATCAGGTGAATCACACAGCAACTTGGAATTCTAGGACATAGTGATTTTCAGTGATAATGTTGAAAGTAGTTCTTGAACTAGCATGTACATCTAGAGAACGTTATAATTTCAGTCAGTCCTCTCATTCAGATTTTTAAAATGGTAAACCTGTCAAAATTACTTTACCCAGTAATTTCCATGTGGAAAAATAATCACCACCCATTCCCATCACTGTATTTTGGCAATTCAAAATGTACTACATGCTGACAGTGTAACCAGAAGCTTGTTCTTGTTGTTTAGTTGTTAAGTTGTGTCTGACTCTTCATGACCCCATGGACCAGAGCACGCCAGGCCCTCCTGTCTTACACTGCCTCCCAGAGTTGGGTCAAATTCATGTTTGTAGCTTCGGTGACACTGTCCAACCATCTCATCCTCTGTTGTCCCGTTCCCCTCCTTCCTTCACACTTTCCCAACATCAGGGTCTTTTCCAGGGAGTCTTCTCTTCTCATGAGATGGCCAAAGTATTGGAGCCTCAGTTTCAGGATCTATCCTTCCAGTGAGCACTCAGGGGTGATTTCCTTCAAATGGGTAAGTTTGTTCTCCTTGCACTCCAGGGGACTCTCAAGAGCCTCCTCCAGCACCACAGTTCAAAAGCATCATTTCTTCGGCGGTCAGCCTTCTTTATGCTCCAGCTCCCACTTCCATACATGGCTACTGTAAAAACCATAGGTTTGACTATACAGAGCTTTGTCGGCAAGCTGATGTCTCTGCTTTTTAAGATGCCATCTAAGTTTGCCATGGCTTTCCTCCCAAGAAGCAGGTGTCTTTTAATTTTGTGGCTGCTGTCACCATCTGCAGTGATCATGGAGCCCAAGAAGGTAAATTCTGTCACTGCCTCCATATCTTCCCCTTCTATTTGGCAGGAGGTGATGGGGCCAGTGGCCATGATCTTAGTTTTTTTATGTTGAGCTTCAGACCATTTTTTGTGCTCTTCTCTTTCACCCTCATTAAGAGGTTCTTTAATTCCTCCCTTGCCATCAGACTGGTATCATCTGCATATCTGAGGTTGTTGATATTTCTTCCGGCAATCTTAATTACAGCTTTGGATTCATCCAGTCCAGCCTTTCACATGATGTATTCTGCATATAGGTTAAATAAGCAACGAGACAATATACAGCCTTGTCATACTCCTTTCCCAATTTTGAACCAATCTGTTGTTTCATATCCAGTTCTAACTGTTGCGTCCTGTCCCGCATATAGATTTCTCAGGAGACAGATAAGCTGGGCAGGCATTCCCATTTCTTTAAGAACGTGCCTTAGTTTGTTGTGGTCCACACAGTCAAAGTCTTTTGCGTAGTCAATGAAGCAGAAGGAGATGTTTTTCTGGAACTCTCTGACTTTCTCCATAATACAGTGCATGTTAGCAATTTGGTCTCTAGTTCCTCTGCCCCTTCAAAATCCAGCTTGTACTTCTGGGAGTTCTCGGTCCACATACTGCTGAAACCTACCTTGGAGGATTTTGAGTATAACCTTGCTGGAATGTGAAATGAGTGTAATTGTACGGCAGTTGGAGCATTCTTTGGCACTGCCCTTCTTTGGGATTGGGATGTAGACTGATCTTTTCCAATCCTCTGGCCACTGCTGAGTTTTCCAAACTCGCTGACATATTGAGTGTAGCACCTTAACAGCGTCACCTTTTAAGATTTTAAATAGTTCAAGTGGAATGTCATCACCTCCACTGGCCTTGTTGTTAGCCATGTCACTCTCCAGGATGTCTGGCTCAAGAACACCCACCACACTATCTGGGTTGTCCGGGACAATCAGATCTTTTTGGTATAATTCCTCTGTGTATTCTTGCCATCTCTTCTTGATGTCTTCTGCTTCTGTCAGGTCCCTACCATTTTTGTCCTTTATCATGTCCATCTTTGCACAAAATGTTCCTTTAATATCTCCAATTTTTTTGAGCAGATCTCTGGTTTTTCCCTTTCTATTCTTTTCCTCTATTTCTTTGCACTGTTCATTTAAGAAGGCCCTCTTGTCTCTCCTTGCTATTCTTTGGAAGTCTGTGTTCAATTTTATGTAACTTTCCCTATCTCCCTTGCATTTTGTTTTCCTTCTCTTCTCTGCTATTTGACCCCCTGCTTTAACATTCCAGTCCCCTATAATGAGAAGAACATCTTTGTTTGATGTCAGTTCTAGAAAGTGTTGTAAGTCTTCATAGAATTGGTCAATTTCAGCCTCTTCAGCATTGATGGTTGGTGCATAAACTTGGATTACTGTGATGTTGAAAGGTCTGTCTTGGATTCGCATTGAAATTATTCTATCATTTTTGAGATTGTATCCCAGTATAGCTTTTCCCATTCTTTTGTTGACTATGAGGGCTACTCCATTTCTTCTACACGATTCTTGTCTACAATACTTTACCCTTCATGGATTGATGCCTTGTCGTGGCGAAGGGGAGTAATTCAGAGAAGCTATGGGCTATGCCGTGCAGGGACACCGCAGGCGGACAGGTCATTGTGGAGAGTTCTGACTAAATGCGATCCACCTGGAGCAGGAACTGGCAAGCCACTCCAGTATCTTTGCCAAGAAAACTCCATGGACAGAAACCAGAAGCTAGACTTTTGAAAAATATCAATAGGATGGCACCTTATATGTGTGATGATTACAGAGAATGTGATCGCTCGATATATGTGCTTTTACTTGAACTTCAAATTAATATGTATTATTTTTAAGCTCAACCAGCCGTTTCTGACTTGTTGTGACCAAAAGTGTTTCCCTTGTGTGTGATAAAGATTCTGCTCCTGTTTCATCAAACATGGTCATGGTTACATCTCTGTGTTGTGAAAGAAGCATTTCTGTAGCACAGTTCAAGTGTTTCAGGTGCCATGCAGAGAAGGGGTGGAGGCACAATCTGACTTGCATTGACAGAATGGCCTCTTTCACAGACAACCCCTCTACCTTAATTTTGGGAGTCATTCTTTCTCCTCCAGCTC